CACGGTATAGTTATATATTATATTGAATATATACAAACATTAATTATAGTTATAGTACCTTGATTACACTGATGTACTTAGTTGCAATCAAATGTAATATTGCCCCCTGTTACTGTTCCTACGTCTATGGTGTAGCCGTTACGCGCTTCGCTGTTGCATGCAGGAGACCCAAGCTCGATTCCTGAGTGGGGAGAACTTTTATTGTGTATCTCAGTCTCTCTGCTGGAATGTTGTGTCCCTCTCAGCCCGGGTTGGCCCTTTATCAAGGCGGAAAGGGGAGCCCACTTCCTAAATGATCTAAATTTTGTCAAAAGGGGAATAAAAACACCTTTAAATATAACATATCGCCTTCTGTTTCTACCCACAGAACTCTTATCATGGCGACTGGTATGGCCACTCCCAACATCCCTCCTATGAAGGGAATTGAGCTGGCTGAGGGATATGAAACCATGTCCTTGGACCCAGAGGATTACGAGGGCAAGACTGTGCTTATACTGGGCAAGTGATTTAATTTTTCTCTTTTACCCTTTCGTGAAACATGGTCAATTTAGGCTTCACAGGACAGAGTCATGGATCCTCAGGGAAAAAGCATAGCGCTAAATCTAGTGGTCAGGTGCCTGTAATTAGACCTTGTTTGTAAATACTTCTAACTACCTCGAAAAGGAAAAGATTTGTTTGTTCTGAAAAAATATCGCTGAATGTGAATCTGCGATTAGTTTTATAAAATACGTGTAATAGAAGCTTGTCATCAAGGTCCTCGCGCTTTGCGAGGCATGATGAACACCGTATGTCACAGCAGCATCTTGGCTCCTTCGCCGTATAAGAAAAAAAAGACGAATGGCGTATGTCATAGGTCTGAAAGGGGTTAATTCTGATCTTTAGAAACTTGATGTTTGTACAGATCTAGATACAGTGATCTCAAGCGGTCTGGTTGGTTTGTTTCTTAGGGGGTGGTTTTTTGTTTTGTTTTGGGATTTTTTTTTGGGGTATGATGTAGTGGAATACTATATTCTTTCAGTCTCAATAGATATTTGAGCATCTGAATTGGAAAGAATATAATAACTTGAAATGTTTAAAATTTTGACAAACTGACACTTCCTGTAACTTTGACATTCATTTCAAGTACCCATTTATTGAACAAGTTCATGATTTATGTCTTTGATAGCAATTTTTCTTTCTGCCAAATACTGGAACACCACATGACTTGCCTTATGTAATGCTCTTCTGTAATGCTACCAATTGAAAACTTGAATCCAATGTCCTAATAGCATTTTTTTTTTATCCTTTCAATTCTCCCAAACAGGTCGGGGCAACTCAGCCTTTGAGGTCGCCAATGGAATATATGGAGCCACAAATCTCATCCACATGGTTGCACGGTCTCGTGTCCGTTTAGCTTGGGCCACCCATTACGTTGGGGACTTACGGTAAAATGTTAATGTGAAAATGGTATGGGTTTAATGCCCCTATCAACACTATTAGGTTGTTTAAGAGGCGGGACCTCCGAGTTAAACATCCATCTCCAAAAAGGGCCAAGCCAAATGGGAATTTTGTGTAAAGGAACTTTTCAAAGGACACAATATTGGACTAAGCTGAGGCTCGAACCCCGGAACCCACAACCTCACGATTAGGAGTCCGGTAGCCTAATCTCTAGGCTACCAATGCCACTAAAATGTTATTGTACTACACTTACAAAGTTCTGTACAGAGCAAAGTAATACATGATGCCTCATTTTCTCATGCATATCGTCAGTGTTGCAAGCAATACATGTAAGTCCATTTAAGTACTTTTTACACTGGAGACAAAAAACTAGACTAATTTTTGTTGTGTTGTTCCTCTCAGAAATCATGAAAAGCAAGAAAATTGTAAGCCTTGACCATAGCATTGAACTGCATTTTGTTGATGGTGATGATAGGGGCAGGGCATCTTTGACCGAGCTTTGGGAGGGTGTAAAAATTGTGGATTGCTTGCGACAGCGACGATATCATCACTGTTGAGTAGGAAAAATGAGTAACTCTATTTGACCTTGATTTACTTGGTGAGTTTAAAATAAATAAAGTTTCTTAATTTTTTGGGGGGTCGGCGCGACATAGTACTTTTTAAAATACCTAGACTCCTTCTCTTTGATTCCCCGTTGAATATAATGATGGTGGAGGGGCACACAGTGAGACTGAAAGGGAGAGAAATTGACAGATAGAAAAATGAAGAGATACACATAACAGTCAGTTGTGTTTGACCCGTTAGTAACAGTAGGCCAGAAGAGAGAGGTGAATTTATGTAGATATTTCTGGTTATGACAACCTTTGCTTCATTTTTTTGAGAAACTGCACACTATTCAAACTTCAAAATTTGAATGGAGGTAGCATTCAATTTTCCTTAACATAATATGACAGAGCCATATTTTCATGATATTGAACTTAAAAATGTTTTAAATTATAAGTTTCAGTAGCTATATATCATTTTAGAATGCTCCAGAATCATCTCATCTCATCGCAATCTCATCTCATATCATCCTATCTCATCTCCTGTCATTTTATCTCATTATTTCTAATCGCTTTATTTGTACCCTCCATAGAGCTGTGAACAATGAGCTACTGGACACGTACCAGCTAAAGTCTTTGGACGGACTGCTGGAGTCATCGCTGAGTCACATGGTTTTGGTCAAACGAGATGACAAAATCCACTTCACCTACAAAGCCAATGACTTCACGCCTGACCGCTTTGATAACATCGCGCTGCGAGAGCCGTATGACGTGGTCATCAGAGCTCTGGGCTTCACGTTTGATGACACAGTTTTTAAGTGAGTTGTCTCTCATCTTTCCAAGTGGCGTCGGTAGCCTAGTGGTTACGCTACCGGACTCGTAATCGTGAGATTGTGAGTTCGGGGGTTCGTGCCTCAGCTCGGTCCGACGTTGTGTCCTTGGGAAAGGCACTTTACACGAACAACCCACTTTGCTCGGTCCTATCGGAGGTCCCGTCCCTTAAATAACCTGTGTTGATAGGGACGTTAAACCTATACCATTTCACCATATTTTCATCTTTCCATATTTTCGGAACCATAATTTTAGTAATGTTTTAACTACACAATGTGTCCCGCGCGTTTATATGACCCTAGGCAGTTGCAAGCACCGTAAAACACTTACCTAAAAAACAACAACAGCAGCAAAAAGAAAACATCTCAAACTGTACAACTGTTATCTCATTGCACATCATTAGAAAATATAAAATTTTCTTTTTCAGTCAAACAGCAGTGAGCAGGGGTAAATTCCGTGCCAAGAAGTACCCTGCCATAAAGCACAACTACGAGTCAGTGGACAGCACTGGCATGTTCTATGCAGGAACCGCCTCACATTCCCTCGATTTCCGGAAGTCAGCCGGGGGTTTCATTCATGGATTCCGATACACTGGTGAGTCCTGTCACACTTTAGTGTTTACCCCCCCCCCCCCCCCGGGGCGGTGCTACTGACTGAAGTGTCTTTAGGCATTTCCCAAGGGGGACATTGATATGTTCTTGTGCACAATAGAATTGTAAATTGTAAATGGGCTGATTCAACAATGTCATGCTCCATAACTGTGCCTGAACTCCAGCAGGGAACTGCTGCTTTTTCTTTCCTAATCCTTACTGTCGTCATCTTTCCTCTACTTCTTTTGTATGTTTGTCACACTCTTGTGACCTGCTATCTCCGGGGTGCCTTGATAGTCGAAGCAGACTTTGTGCTGTTGAAGCTAGAGAGGCGAACAGAGTAAGCCTGATTCCCTGTTACGACTTCTCTGTCAACACTCTTGTCGCTCTTATGACCTTATTCAGTTGCGAGCGCCGTAAAACCTTACTAGAAGTTAAACTTAAAAACCTGTACCGTTTCACATTTTCATTTCTGCTTCAGAGCTTTGTCATTGTCGGCATAGCCAAAGCAGTTTAAAAACCCAGACTTGTAACTGTGTCCATTGTTTGTGCAGCTCGTGCCTTACACCGACTCCTGGAGTGGCGCTACGAGGGCGTGCGGTGGCCGTCCTTCACCGTGCCCCGGAGTCAGCTGCTCAATGTGATTGTGAAGCGTGTGAACGAGGCGTCTGGCACCTACCAGATGTTCCAGGTCAGTCATGTAGAGTGCACTCAATAATAATAGTATTAATTATTATTATTATTGTTTGTTTGCATGTATACCGTTAGGTTCAACATTTACTCAAAGAAGAACGGACTCGACTTGCACATTTGCCAGTTGAGTAGGGAATGGCTCATCAGTCCTTTAATCTCGTGCTGAACTCAATGGTTACAAAAACATTCATCGGAAATGGTACGAAACACGAACAATGTACTCATATCAACAATTATTATTATTATTATTATTATTATTATTATTATTATTATTATTATTATTATTATTATTATTATTATTATCAATATTATTATTATTATTATTATTATAATGATAATGATAGTAGCAGTAGTTAGGCTAATATAATATAACATTTCTGATTACTCAGCTGTTAATTTTGTCAATAGGCAGTCTCATGTTTTTGCTCTAGTAGATTCAATATAATAATATGGATCCTGGGGACTTAAAGTGTGTGTGTCTTTCCAGCTTGATAATGTTGTAGGCCATGTAAATGCCTTTATCTTTCATAACAGTTTGCTTTCTTTATATTTTCAGGTACTTGGAGATGTGGCAGTATTTTCAGAGTAAGTTCGAGCCCTAGATTTAGGTTTCAAATGATAAGTCTTCTCTCAGGTTGTAACCTCTGGGAGTACTTTCTACATGCTCTCAGAATCTGTGCGGGGGCTCTCACGGCCTTGAGGTTAAGGTGTTCGCCTCTCATTCAAAGGTCCCTGGCTCAAATCCGGGTAGCGACTCTAAACTTTCCTTCTCTAAAATTGTCTCCTTTCACCAACTTTCCTTCTCTCTTGCAATATTCTGTCTTCTGCTTTCGTCTCCACTTTCTTCCCCCACCCCCTCACCTCCTTTGCCCCCTCCACTGGGCTCCTGACTCTTTCTGCAGCCTTTCTACTGTAACTGCTTGGCTCCTCCTTACTGCTGTCTTTCAGCCGCATCCCTGATCTTATGGTAGGAAAGATCTACACCTAGTCCTCTCGGACAAGGTCGAAAAATCTCGGAGGTCCCGTGTACAAGTTGAGCACATTAAAGATCCCTTGGTGGTCCAAAATCAATAAGAGTAGGCTTTGGCCGCCACCTAGGCAAAATTCAAAATTTCCTACTTACTGAAAATGTTTACTGTGTCTGCCATGCTCATATGACCTTATGTAGTTGCAAGTGTCGTAAAACACCTAGCAAAAGTAAAAACTTGTATTAAAGCTAAATATCTAGCTCTTATATGACTTATTTGTGTTGCAAGTGCAGTAAAAATCATACTAAAACTAGAATTTCGACACTTATATGACCAAATTGTAGTGCAAATGCCATAAAGCTCATACTAAAACTAAAATTTCAGCACTTATGTGACCTAACTGTTTTGCAAGTGCTTAATAAAACTCCTACTAAAACTAAAATTTCAGCACTTATATGACCTAATTGTGCTGCAAGTGCCATAAAACTCAGAGGAAACTAAAATTCCGGCACAAGTACGACATAATTGAGTTGCAAGTGCCGTAAAAATTCCCACTAAAGGTAAAATTTCGTAAACGCGTACTTAATCTAAAATTTCGGCACTTATGCAACATAATTGTGTTGCAAGTGCCGTAAAACACTTACTAAAACTAAAATGTTGGCCCTTACATGACCAAATTGAGTTGCAAGGGCAGTAAAACTCACACCAAAACTAACATTTCAGCACTTACGCCCATATGACTTAATTGTGTTTCGAGTGCTTATAAAACTCATACTAAAACAAAAATGTCTGCACTTATATGACCTAATTGGGTTGCAAGTGCCTTATAACACTTACTAAAACTAAAATGTTGGCACGAGTACGACATAATTGAGCTGCCAGTGCCATAAAAATTCCCCCTAAAGGTAAAATTTCGGCACTTGTACGACTTAAATGTATTGCAAATGCCGTAAAACCCGTACCAAAACTAATGTTTTGGCATTTATGTGACCTAATTGTGTTTAAAATACTGTAAAACCCGTACCAAAACTGAAACGCTTTTGTTGTTTCCTCAGGGATGGTCTGTCTGTGACGTACTTGGAAGAGTTCCCGATCCACCTGATCCACGAGCTGCCGCAGCGTACGGGCATCCAGGTGTTCTCTGTTCTTGCCGTGGTCTTGGAGTACGGCCAGAACTTCTCTGGTCCCGGGAACGACATTTTCCGCAGCGACCGCGCCACGGGGGAACCGTCGGAGGCCCACACCTCCAACTTCCTCCACCCGGTGCTGTACTTTTACAAGAATCTACCCACAGGTCGGTCACTGTTTCCTTCCTTCCTTCATTCTTTCCTTCCTGCCCTCAGTCTTTCTTTCCTGTCATCAATCCTTCCTTCATTCCTGTCTTTCTTCATTCGTTTCATCTTCCCTCCTTTTGTTTTTCCTTCATTCCTTTCTTTCTTCTGTTCAGCCTTTCCTTTTTCCTTTCTTCCTTCCTTCCTCTCTTCCTTCCTTTCTTCCTTCCTCCCTTCCTTCCTTCCTTCCTTCCTTCCTTCCTTCCTTCCTTCTTCCTACCATCATTCCTTTATTCCTACCATTCTTCATTCCCTTCACCCTTCCTTCCTTTCATCCTTCCTTCATTCCTTTCTTTCTTCTTTTTATCCTTTCCTCCTTTCCTTCTGTCTTTCTTTCCTTCCTCGAGGAGGCTCACCTGCTGTAATTTAAAACTGATGTGGGTTTACGTTATCCCCTTGTCTAATATTCTCCTTTGCGTCCCCCACCAACAGAAGAAATGATGCAGGCCCGTGACAGGAAGTCAACTCTGCCGCGGCCAGACGCCCTCCATCACGTGGTGGAAGATTTCACCACGCAGTTCACCGCCCAGCACAGCCACATCCTGCCGCTGCGACGTTTCCTCGAGAACATCGTACAGCAGGACCTGCGCGCTTTCTTCTCTGAGTCCTGCTTCCAGCTGGCCATGACCCATGCGGAGATTCCAGAGGCTTGCGGCTCCCAGTACATGGCTGGCCACGGTCTGCTGGGGAACCCGGACTTGTTGCAGTCGGCGTCTTCCACAGGCATGTTGAATGTGCTGTAACTGAGAGTAACTCCTCATGACTCATGACTCGTATTTCATCGCCCTTGTGATAAGGCCCCCCAAATGTCCAAAGAAGTTTTGTTTGACAAATGAATAGTAAATTATCTATTTCATATATGCTCAGCTCTGAATTTTGACCAAAAATTCTCCTGGAACGTTAGAAATATATCGGAAGAACTCATCGGCTGACAGGTTGCTGTGCGGTGAAACCAGATAAGTTTTTGTTTTTTTTTCCTGTAAAATTTACTCCACTTCAGTTAGCTGGTCTTATCATAAGGGCAATGATTTCCTGACGTGTCAAAACTAAATTTTAACCTCGCCGTCTCTTTTGAGCATCCGTTGGAATGTGCTCTCTACTGTTCTCCGCTTGAGAGTGAAAAGGACGTCTTGCTCAGTTAGATCAGTTTGAGGGGTTAAACTTTAGATTTGCTGCTGATATATTGCTTTGCCCTGAACAATTAGGCCTTATGAGAGCTTGATTTCTTCTCCAGATGAAAATTGTTTTATTATTAAAGTTACAGCTGATTCTGTATGGTATGTGATATTTGAAGTTTTAGTTTTTGTTGAGATTGCATGGGAACAAACCAAATAATATTCCAGTAGTTACTGTGAAGATATACACCAACTTCCTACTTACAGGTCGTGTCTCTGGTGATACCTTCAGAAAACTGTTACTGCGTAAGTAACAAACATGAAGTGAGTTTGTGATATGGTAGGCTTCTTCTATGTGCTGGTTTTGCTGACTACATTGCCTATGGTAGTGAGAGTTGGGTTCTTGTTGTTGAAGAGTCATCGGTTGGTTAGAAAAGAGACGCTGTGAATTGAGGCAATATCGCTGTGGTTGTTTTATCATCATCTAGATGAAATGGAATATTAATACGTGTACGGTTGAACTTGTTCAAGATAGTCATCCACAGTGGAGGAGAAAAGTGGTTGTCTTAGAAAGGTGGGCGTCTTGGACAATGTCAATTTTGAAGTATAGAAAAAAGCAAGGGGGAAAATGAGAGGTTGTCATTTGTGCAGGAGATTTTCTTGAACAGGTGGCCATTAGTGCAGGTTCGACTGTACATGTATACTATGTATACTACTGCTTCTATTACTGCTGCTGTATTTTGGGGTGAGAGAGGGTTTTCTTCAGTGCCTTGCTACTGAACCTTGTTTCTGAGAGTTTAGATTTAATGAATAGGTGAAGTGTACTAGTATTAAGTCTAAAATTTGCTATTGACACTAGCAATATATGGTTTATTCAGGGTAGTAACCTCACCTTTTAATCGTTTTGACGGAATGTCAGTGCTGCCCATTATCAATTATTTGTCCAGACGTATTAAGCCAAAATTTTTGAAAACTTTTTATTGCAGTTTAATAATCTGCTGTATCAATTGTATGTGCTCAAGAAATATTTTGTTAAAATTCAAACTCTACATGTTGAAAAAGCAAGAAAATAAAGATTTAGAATACAGTTCTTAAAACAATAAAGCGGTCTTTTCTCAGTCCTGAAAAACTTTTCTCTCTTGGCTTAGAATAGCTGAACACCTCACCGACAATGTGTGTGTGGGACTGATAGTTCCCCCATGAGCATGAGCTCTTCTAATATAGAGAGATAAAATTCCCTCTCAAAATTCCACCCTGTGAATGATTAAGTGTTGAAGTTAATCTGGGTTATTTTTCTCTGTGTGCAGTTTGTCTTGTGTGAAAGATTTTTGCTTGTAGCTGCTACAGGGATGCGGTGCTCCAGTTAGTTGTCCCATTCTATATGTGTAGCGATGTGGTGAAATCAGGCGCTCGTCAAAAGAATCAAAGTGAAGAAACTTGCATTTTTCCGCAGGATTGTGAATTTTTATCAAATTTTTGTTTTTGGGCTGAACACCTTTCATGCCCATTAAAGAACTCATTTCTGTGTGAATTTTTTCTGAAAAACGTTGATTAAAGGCACAAAAGATGTAAATTTTCAGTTATCACAGACTCTTAAGCTAATAAAATAACAAATCTTTGGTGACCATTTTCTCTCCAATTTTACCTCTGAAAACCTCCTTCATTCTCAAATATCTCGACGTGTATTTAAGATAAACTGAATTTTTTTTCCATCAAAATAAAGACAAGTGAACAAGCTTTAAGATGATACCAATAGCGCAATGTGCCCAAAATTTGACGAGAGCCTGATTCCAC